GACAGAGGGAGATTCCGTCCCCCGCCCCCCGAAAAAAAGAAACAATATTAGTTTGGCAGAGCTACCTCTAGACTATAGGGCACATTTGTGCAAACTGTAATAGTAAATAGCACCCCTTTCTAAAGACTCTTTACTTCCATCTGTCAGAAAAAATTCAGAAAACCCTGATTTTATGAGAACAAGACACTCTACTGCCATCTGTTGGAAAACAGTTATAGTAAACTTATACGTCTGATATCTGTGATGTGAGTGGTATCCATCTCCCAGCCCCTTACATGCAGTGTAGCACCTGCACTACTGTACCCACAGCTCCCTAGCCATGAGAGTGCATTATGTTTTAAGAAATGGTCTTCGGACTCTTAAAAAAAGGAAGACATACATCAATGGTGACTCTGACCTCCCATCCAAGAAATTATGCATGGGCTGTGTTAGGAACAGGACTGGAGACCCTGCAGTGTTAGAGTAGGGCATAGAGCTTGCAAGGCTGTTTCAGTCATGGGTGGGTGGGGGTGATTTTCAGGCCTGATGCTGACACCACTCCACTGAGAGAAAGAAGCTTGCTTCTGGGTGCCTGCAAGAGATGCAGTGCCTTCACCTTGTTGTTAGCAAGAACGGCATACATAAAAACTTGAGCACATGAAAGCCACGTGTAAGAGTGAGTTCAGGTGCTCTAAATCCTTTCCAGATTGTTTACACACTGTCTATATCAAATCCTTACACTAGCATAGTTATGAGAAAGTGAGCCAGCTTTTGCTCTTAGAGATGAACAAGAAAAGTCTGGTTCAGGCCGGGCACGGTGGCTCATGCCTGTAATCCCAGCGCTTTGGGAGGCCGAGGTGGGCGAATCACTTGATGGCAGGAGTTTGAGACCAGCCTGGCCAACAAGGTGAAACCCTGTCTCTACTAAAAATACAAAAATTAGCTGGGCAGGGTGGTACACACCTGCAGTCCCAGCTACTCGACAGGCTGAGGCAGGAGAATCACTTGAACCTGGGAGGCAGAGGTTGCAGTGAGCTGAGATGGCACCATTGCACTCCAGCCTGGGCGACAGAGTAAGACTCTGTCTCAAAAAAAAAAAAAAAAAAAAGTGAAAAGTCCAGTTCAGCAAGACACCCTGACTGATGCTAAATCTAGAGCCCTATCAGCTGTCTGTCTGATTCATTAAGTCAGCAAAAAAAAATAATGAGTCTTTACCAGTTAACTTATGCTTCATGAAAAACCACCCCAGTATTCAGCGGCTTAAAAGCAATACCTGGCCGGGCGCGGTGGCTCAAGCCTGTAATCCCAGCACTTTGGGAGGCTGAGACGGGCGGATCACGAGGTCAGGAGATTGAGACCATCCTGGCTAACACGGTGAAACCCCATCTCTACTAAAAATACAAAAAACTAGCCGGGCCATCTCTACGCGGTCAAAACTACAAACTCAGCCGGCGCACGGATACGGCGGGCGCCTAACTTAGTCACCCAGCTACTCACGCAGACGGCCCTGAGGCCGGAGACATTCGGCGTAAACCCGGAGGCGGAGCTTGCAGTAGAGCTGAGATCCAGCCCTCGCACTCCAGCCTGCGCGAAGAGCGAGCACTCAACACGCACCACCGTCTCAAC